TCTCCGAACAAGTCGGTGGTGGCATCGAGAAGCAAAGGAAGCGTCACCAGCTGCTTCGTGCTGAGGCCGAGGATCGTGATTGCGCCCAAGAAAACATTCAAGCCGCCCGGCAGCACTTGAAGCTCCAAATCACGGCCAATGTTGTCTGCAATGGACTGCGCAACGCTTCCACCAAAGAAGCCATAGCCCAGCGCTCCTCAGCTCTCCAAAGACCAAAAATGCGCATAAGAGGTAGGGTCCTAGACCTCCTACTCGGTGGCCAAAAGAAGGAAAAAATATAAGAGTACTGGGAGACCAAGGCTCCAAAGGTCAAGAGGAAAGCCTCTGTAAGGGTCATGCTGTAGATCACGGCCTTTGTCCACTGCTTCCGGTCCTCCATCATCTGGTAGATGAGGGGAGCCTCGCTGTGTGCCAGGAAGCAGAGCAGGGCAATGCCAAAGGCAGATGGCACCCCTGCTGCTTTCAGAGCCGTCTGGTCTGTCGCAACCTCGTTCAAGGAGGACAGCTCCACACCAGTGATCACGAGCCCTAAGATTAAGAGAACCTGGGAGGACATACCCAGCACGGCCATAGCTGAGAAGAACTTCTTGGGGAGCAGGCAGCAGCTGAAGGCCAAGATACAGGAAAGAGCGGCCGTCACATTGTGCCTGAAGGGTAGCAGGAAAGGCAGCTGCTCAATGACGATACTGACCAAAACCAATGCCCCTCCGGTGAGGTCGAAGAACATGCATCCAGCGAAGACAAGACGGCCGACGTTGCCGAAGGCAGCGTAGCCAATAAGGCCCCAATCACGTTGAGAGCGGGGCACCCCCATCTCCTCTGCCCGGGCATCTACTGCCTCCAAGAGGAAGCCCATGATCCACAGAGTGAAGCCTCTGTGAGGCTTTTTGAAAGCTTTGTTTGAAAGCTTCTAGAAGGATCTTGAAGGTGAATCTTGATGGTGCTTGAATGTATCTTGAAATTATCTGGAAGGTGTCTTTGAATGTTGTTGAAGGACTTCTGGAGGTTCCTTGAATGACTTCGAAACTTTTGCTAACTTATGTGTGGGGCCCCTGATTTCTCCCACTGGCTTTGTCGTTTTAGATCCATCCATGATGGCTTCCGCTAGTCTTACCGAACCGACACACGCCCTCAGATTTCAATTAAAAGAACAGACACATTGAAGACCGATAACTACATGAACGTCGGAACCGCAGCAAATTCCCATCCCTTGCGGTGCTGAGGCTCTGGCCCATGAGCACTCCAACGGCCAGTAGCAACGGAACGAAAAGCCAGCCCGAAAGCCGAAAGGCGTACGGCAAGACGACACTGCCGCCTCCCACGAAGACGTTCCTCGGTCCCGGTTACTTGGCAGGAAGGAGACCAGGATCGTTCTCATTATAAGGAAAACACAGAATGCAGGAAGGATAATTGACCAAGGATCAGCATGGTGACCACAGTGCCTCCCAGTGAAACACC